TTATTATATAATGGTCTTTTGTGATTTTTTGGCGTTTTATTGTTTTGTTACTTGTCCTTGAAAGTTATGTAACTCGGTATCCTGTATAAGAGGTATGATTGGAATCAAAATACTTGATCCGAGTTGGAAACATCCCTTTACCGCTCTGATCGGTGGCCCAGCCATTATCACTATTCGCCCTTCCCCTTCTCTTTTTCCGCAACCCCTTCCCCCTTCTCCCATCCCTAAGCTCAATACCAACCGATAGATAAACAGACCGTACCACTACCCACACTATACCTATTCCATTAAAGAGACAAAGGATGTAGGACAAAGTAACACACCTACATTTATCTACATTCAATTAATGTCACAACCCCCTAGAAACCACTCCAACAGACTGGGATACATAACATAGACACCACTCCCCAATGAATATCCCATGCACCCTATCCACATGGAAAACGTTGTCCGCAGCCCTCGCCCCCTTCCATAAACACATTGACATTTACTGTCACAAGTGACAACTTTCCCATCCAAACTTTTAAATCTTTCCATATACAAATAAAAACATCCACACCCAACTTTGAAACCTGTCTTGGTGAAAACAAAGACCGTCCAACTCTAGTGTAAACTCTACACCAACCGATTCCAAAACATGCATGGTCCAAGTTTGAAACCTGTCTAGGTGAAAACAAAAACCAGCCCGACACCAGTATAAACTCTACCCCCTCATCTATTCCTAAACATTCATGTAACAACTTTGAAACCTACCTCAATGAAAACTTCACCGACTCTAGTATAAACTCTACACCAACCGATTCCAAAACATGCATGGTCCAAGTTTGAAACCTGTCTAGGTGAAAACAAAAACCAACCCGACACTAGTATAAACTCTACCCCTCATCTATTCCTAAACATGCATGTAACAGCTTTGAAACCAACCTTAGTGAAAACTTCACCGACTATAGTATAAACTCTGTCCTAACCAGCTCCAAAACATGTATGGTCCTATTTTGAAACATCCCTCGGTGAAAACTTCACTGACCCTAGTATGAACTCTGTCCCAACCAACTCCAAGACATGGCTGGTCCTAGTTTGAAACCTGCCTCGGTGAAAACGTCACCGACCCTAGTATAAACTCTACCAAACTTTTACAGTCAAACCAAAAAACTCTCTCTCTCTCTCTCTCTCTCTTTCTCTTTCTCACACACACACATCCACACCCAACTTTGAAACCAGCATACATGTAACAAGTTTGAACCTGTCTAGGTGAGAACAAAATGCATCCCACGGTAGTATAAACTCTACCCCAATCAAGTCCGAAACATGCATGGTCGTAGTTTGAAACATGCCTCGGTGTTAACAAAACACCTCCGACTCTCGAATAAACTCTGCCCCCTCAATCCCAAAACATGCATGTACCAACTTTGTGACCAGTCTCGGTGAAAACTTCACCGACCCTAGTATAAACACTACCCCAACCAATTCTTAAACATCCCTGTACCAATTTCGAAACCTGCCTCGGTGTTAACAAAACTCCCCCGACGCTAGTATGAACTCTGCCCCTAACAATTCCAAAACATGGATGTAACAACTTTGAACCTGCCTAGGTGAAAACGACACAGACCCTAGTATAAACTCTACACCTATCAATTCCTAAACATGCATGGTCCGAGTTCAAAACCAACCTCGGTGAAAACTTCACCGACACTAGTATAAACTCTGTCCCAACCAACTCCAAATCATGTATGGTCCTATTTTGAAACATACCTCGGTGAAAACGTCACCGACCCTAGTATAAACTCTACCCCAACCAATCCCGAAACATGGATATACCAACTACATACAACACACGGGCTCGACGCGGGTCGATCAATATTATTTCTTTACTCGATCAAAAACCTATGACACTGTCCGTATAACGGTTAGTGGAAAGTGTGGCACCAGCTGTTGCCTGTTGGCAAATGGTTCCCTGAGAAACACTTAATGGATTCGCATTAATTACCAGATCCCTGTGGTGGTCGCTTCAGTGAACCCACCATTAATCAACCGCGCCTGTCAAATCGACCGAGAAAAACGATTAATCTCTACGCGGCGCGTGTCGAAAGGCAAACTTTGTTGGCGGATCGATAAGTAACAGCTGTTGCTAATGAGTAACAGCTGTGGTTAAATGGATGTTGAGAGAAAGAACTTTCTACTTTTGTCGGCGTTAGCGCACCCTTCTCCTCCACCCCCGCCATTACTCCCCCTCTCCTCCTCGACCACCACCCCTCTCAACTACCACCACCCCTCTCCACCACCATCAGGTGGTGGCGTGGTTTACTATTAAACATACATACAATCAAATAAACAAACCAACAAATTAAAAAAACAAATTAAAATCAAACAAATTAAAATCAAACAAATAATAAAATTAATTTAAAAATCAAACTAATAATAAATTAAAATTACAAAATTTAAAATTTAAAAAAATTAAACTAATTAAAAAATAAACAAACAACCAGTAAACAACAATTAAAAAATAAAATTTAAAAATAAAAAGTAATAATTTAAAAATTTAAAAATTTAAAAAATTTAAAAATTTAAAAAAAAAAATCAAAAAACTTTAAATCAAATTACTTAATTAGTTAATAAAAATTAATTAAAATTAAAAATTAAAATTTAAAAATAAAATCTAAAAATTTAAAAAATTAAAATCAAACTAATTTAAAAAATCAAACAAATAATCAAATTACGTAACTAGTTAATAAAAAATACAAAACAAAGTAAATAAAAAATTCAAACTAATTAAAAAAAATAATAATTAATTAAAAATAAGCAAATAATAATTTAAAATTAAAAATTAAAATTTTAAAATTTTAAAATTTTACAAATTAAAATCAAATTAATTAAATTTTAAAAAATCAACTAATTAAAAAATCAAATTTAAATTAAAAAATAATAATTAAACTAATTAAAAAATTAAAAACAAAATAAAAACATAGTAATACAATTAAAATTAAAATTGTATTAGTTAAAAACAAACAAATAATAAAATTACATAACTCGTTAATAAAAATTAATTAAAATTAAAAAATTAAATTCAAACTAATTAAAAAACTCATTAAAATTACGTAACTAGGTCATTGATTACGTAACTAGGTCACCGCTGGTGATTACGTAACTAGGTCACCGAAGGTGATTACACATAAGGTCACCAGTGGTGACCTACTGACCTACTCCACCACCACCTCCGCCATCCTACGGTGGGGGAGTATTTTACTATATCTCATTGTTCCTGCGGCTCACCATCCTCACCATTCATCTCCCCAGGTGGGGGAGTATTTTACTATATAACATGTCTAACCCTCACCATCCACCTTCCCCAGGTGGGGGAGTATTTTACTACATGTCGATGTACCTCCACCTCCCCGAGGGAGTATTTTACTATATCCCGTTGTTCCTGCGGCTCAACCACCACCGCCAGGTGGGGGAGTATTTTACTATATGTCATTGTCCCTCCGCATCCCCCAGGCGGGGAGTATTTTCCTATATATTCTTTGCTCCACCTCCACCTCACCATCCGCATCCCCCTGCGCCTGCGACCCAAAAGTGACCTAATATACTACTGTAACTAAAGCAAATTTAAATGTCAGGCTAGTCTGCCTTAGTCTACCTTGTCATACATTGTAAGACATTATACATACGGCAACGTAGATTCCATCAATAACCGTCTGGACACACTATACCTACATTAGCTTGGGCCACAGAACAAGTTTATTACGGCTGCAAATGTTTCATGACAAGCCAGGTTTAAAACGGTAAATTTCTTATTTTTTACATACCAATGAACAATTTTAAATAAATACTTTAATAGCTTTTGTTTAGATTAAAATGTACCGCTTAAGTCGTTACATCGACATTTGTCACGTATTAGGCTAATCACCTTTATAATCCTTATTATCATATTTATCATCATCTCCATCATCTTCTAACTATTGACGTAAGAGGCATAAAAAGTGAGCAACAAATCGTCCTGTCTCCAAATTTGACCTATACTTGTGAGAATGTAAGGCCTCTCTTGTTAGGGGTATTCCATACATGACGTCACGCCTTTTTTGACGATGTTTACCCTCCCCTCCGTCACAAGTCGTCACAAAAAGCCAGACCCCCCAACCTAAAATGACGTCCTCTGCCTACAAACCCCCTCAAAATTGCTGTTAAATTTTTCTTAAAATATCGATAATTTTCTTAAATCTTGTCAGAACTCTGTCAAAATGGAGTATTTTGATCAATTCCTATTAAAATTTATTAAAACCGTTTTCTAAAACGCGAAATAAAAACTAAAAATCGTTTTCTAACATTGCTTTTTTTATAATGCAAAAAAGTGACGTCAATCCATTTGAACCAACCCCCCTTCCCCTCATCACACACCGTCACAAAATTTCGGACCCCTGCTACCCCCTACGAGTGTGACGTCATTTATGGACGACCCCTTATGGGGATATGCGAGTTTTTTTCCATTTTTTACAATTTAATATCTAAAGCCTTTTGAATGCTTTTATCATGTTTGGCATATGAAAGTAAGTATTAAACAGCAACAAAAGGGTTGAAAACAATTTTGGTTGTCATGGAAACCCTTAAAAAACCTCCGCCATTTTGAATTTTTTTTTGTACTTTTAAAAATGCTAAGGCTTTTTATTTATGCACCTATAGCAATCAAAGTTAGCCTGCTTATATTTCAGTATATACTAAAACTTTTGTCACGAAAACTTTTACAAAGAATTCCACAAAATCTAAAAAAATCGTACCATTTTTAGTGTTCAAATGTTTCAAAATTTGCAAATAAATTACCAAATCCTTTTTTCTATGTAAGCCATCACAATTCCCTCGTGACAAAAGTTGTATGTTTGGACGAAGAACAATTACTGAAAATATGATGGCGATTGTTTGATAAATAAAAAAGAAGTAGGCTTTATAGTGTTAAAAACCTTCAAACTGAGAAAAACAGCCAAAAGTAACGAAAAATAGATCACGAAAATACCATATCTGTGTAAACTGCAAAGCTGATTGTAAGCTTTGGCTGTTTCCGAGATAATGGAAATTAACATTATCAAATAAAGGAGAAATCCAGCTTTCCAAAGATGCCAAATAAAATTTGATGACGGATATAAAACTTTTGATAGAGAGCGTGTAAGATTGGAAAAATTGATTATTTTTTAATTAATAGGGTCATAAAAATGGTAATTTACCCAATTTAATTCCGTTTAGCCCATAAATTACAACAGGACATTGTGGCTGATTTTAGCGAAAGAATGTTTATTATCGCATTGCCAATGTATTGTTCACATATAGAATAAGTCTGTATTTTGCAGCAAGGTTTTTGTTTAAAATACTTAATGCTTTGGTAAAATACTGAAACAAAATGGCAACTCCGGCCAAACAAAGTAGGCTTGAAGAATCCTCTATTGGTAAGTTCAAAACTTTATATAAACATTTTGAAATCATTCAAAGCATATTATATGCTTTTTATAAATATACATTCACTTTCCACGTTCTACCTTGTGTAAGCTAAACATAGCATTTACATTCAACAATTACTTTATATATTATCAAACTTTTTATATTAATTAAGTGGTGCTTTGTTTGTCAAGCTTGTGAATCATCTCGAACACACATTATTTTTTTTCCCGAGCAGCTAGCATGCTGTCACATGAACTACCCGTACAGTGGGAGAGAGGTCGCATGATCGGCAGAGGCGGATGTGGAACTGTCTATCTTGTGCTGGACAAGGACAATCCTGATCAGGAACTCTTCGTTGTTAAAGATATATTCGTCACGGAAAAGGATAAAGTTGAAATAACGGTAGATGTATTTTCAATTTCTGCTAATCGTTAATAGTTTTTACGACTCTTATTCACCTCTCTCTCTCTCTCTTTATATATATATATATATATATATATATATATATATATATATATATATATATATATATATATAAAATGAGCAATGTGTGTCTGTTTGTTTGTTTGCTTGTTATGTATTACTGCACCTTTTCATCTGATGGCCATGAAAATTTGGGAAGTTGTTGAGAATTCTGCTAGGGAGTATTCTCCCTCCGAGAATGATTCTACAAAACGTAATATTATAATTAGTTATGGGCGTTGACTATAATCGTTGACTATATCGAATCAGGTGCGTCATCCGGCGCTCCGGCAGTGTGCGATTTGGCACCCGGGTCAATCCTGTAAGCGCTATGGTGCATACGTATGTTTCAAAGAGCATGATAGCAGTGGATACTATGGTTTACTATAGTCGTTCGCTAAATTGAATCATGCTCGTCTGCCGGCGCATACGTTCGTTTCAAAGAGTGCGATATAATATGATGTAGTATTATAGTCGTTTATTAAATCAAATCAGGCGCGTCTGCTGGTGCCCTGGCAGGGTGTGATTTGGCGGATGGCTATCCTGTAGGCACTATAGCTCTTACGATTTTTTTAAGGCGCACCCTACAATATTGACAGGGAGGCACATGGCATTCGATGATTAAACCAATCCAGGGCCCGTACGCGGCGCCCCTGTTGTAGTGTAGCCGGGGGGTTCCCGAGGGCGCACCTTTACGTCCCTGATATATGGGTGCTCGCTGAGGTGTTCTACCTCACCATTACGGAGAGTAATTAACGTACACTCAAGGCTCTCCGACAGCACAACACGCCGAGGGCGTGCTGGTTGTAGTGTGAGCAAATCCGTGCCCCTACAAGTATGATCCAAAAATTATAGCGTTGTTTACATTCAAATAAAGAAAACAAGGTCAAGCGTCTAAAAATAAAGGATTAGGAACACAATGATGAAATCCTTTTTCAATATTACGTCATACTTTATTCTGAGACCGCGGCAAAACTAGTATTATATGAATTAAATACAGTATATAGAATTAAACAGTATTACAATACGTGTTACTTTAAAACTAATGTTTTTTTAAATTACAAACGTTAAAGTTAATTTTGCTAAGTTTTACTATGTTTAGTGTGACTAAGTAATGAAAAAGGGTTTAGAAGTTAAGTTTCTTTACTTTTTGAAGGGAAACTGAGGTAGGTGAATTTTGTAATAATGGAAAATGTGTATTTAATATGCCTGAAATTAATTATTTCTTGCGCATTTTAAATGTACTTTTATATTTAAAATACTACATTTAAATTGTTTCTATATTTAATGGACTGCTCTCATAAATGCATACTAATTACATTTAAAAAATACATAAAATATTGCAATCGTTTAAATATTTCAATAAATCAAAGTATTAAATGTGTCTGTTTATCACTTACCAGTTAGTTCTTTAATGTGTATATGTATGTTTTTATGTAACATCAAGAAACAGTTTAAAACAGAGACGACCGTCCTTCGAACATCAGAAACACATCCACGAATTGTACAGTTCTTTGGATATCGTCAGTTAGACAACACATTCTCCATCTTTTTACAATACTTGAAAAATGTGAGTTTTGAGTTTCTGAAAAAAAGATAATATACGCCCAACTACCACTATTTAAATGTTACCGAAATTATTTGACAAATGTGTTGATTAATACAATAAATGCAATCGGTGCAGTAATACTTTAATCATTGTGAACTATACTTTAAAGGATTATCTAGTCGCATAACTTAGTAGCATTTTTCGCTATGGAAAAGTTTTTTTTTTTTAAACGAACAATACACAATAGTGTTCACCTTTAAAACACATAATAATGTCCCCATAATTTCTATTTGATTTTTTAAAATTTATATTAATCATGATTAAACAAAAATAATTAATTTTGTTATAAAAAGGGGTCTTTGACTGACTACATACACAACAATGGCAAACTTCTAGAACCTAAAAGTCAACTTTTTTCAAGACAAATTCTTGAAGCGGTTGTTTTTCTACATGACAACAATATCATCCATCGAGATATAAAAGGTATTGTATTGTTAAACATAGAAGAATTTTAGCTTATTCTACATTGGTATTTCAATGCCTTGTAATTAACACAATGGAACTAGCTTCTTTTTTCTACAATTTTACTTCGCGATAATGGAGTTTAATAAAAATGCATAGTTTTTAGAATAATCACTTTTAGCATAAGTTTCAAAGTTAATAAGAATAAAATACTGAATATTTTTTATTGTGAAGGAAGAAACATACTTCTTGAAGACGAAGATAACATCAGATTAACGGACTTTGGAATTTCTAAAATCCTGAAAGATGTCACGAGTACTGGAACAGCCGGCATCGGTACTTTGAGGTGGATGGCACCGGAAGTGTTTACTGCAGATAATGCAACACAAAAGTACAACAAGAAAGCAGATATTTGGTGAGTTTTCCACATCGTCACTCACAATTGAATAGCTATTGATTTATTGAATGAAGTTATTAATTCATATTTATATAAAGCAAAAACGGACTAGGCGATAGATTGCTTTTTATGGCTAAAAAATAATCTATTTAAATTTGGAAATAGTTGGATATTACGTTTACAAAAATAATATAACGCTAATAACTAAAAACTAATGTATAACAGTTGATGTAACGATGACGTTCAATGTAATTGCTAGTTTTGATAATCTCTTCAATGTATATGTTATTGATGTCAAAGTACTATTACAGTACACTGCTTTCCTCTTGAAGTTAGCGCATTGTAGAATTTGTTTTGTTAATTTATGTTTTAAATCTCTGTATATTTGTACATGTATTTATTTTACATTGAAGTTTATTGTCCCGATAATTCGTAAACTAAATATTTTTGAAAAATAGCAGTTAAAAACTTTCTACTCAAATTTCTTTCATTAAACACAGGAGTATCGGTTGTACTGTTGTCGAGATGATCACTGGTGAAGACCCATATCCTCAATGTAAAAGCGAAGCAAACATTTGTTTTACAATTGGGCACAAGAAAGAACCACCTCCGTATCGAAACGTTTCCGCCAGTTGTGATGATTTCTTAAAGAAAACATTCACAGTAGACCCTTTAGCAAGACCATCAGCCAAAGATCTACTGGAAAATGATCCATTTATAAATAGTGGACAAACAGGTGTGTACGTTTTCATTACTCTCTCACATTTACAATTAAAGTCATTATTATTATTGCATACATTTGCACGACAATTTTAAAAATATAATAAACAAAATGTGAAGCAACGGCTTTAAGCAATTTTATATTTATTTCCCCCCTTGCACAAATATAAAAACTATAATACGTATTTGTGATTAGAATTAGCAATCATAATTAGTCTACACAAGAAAGCCAGTATTTCAGTTGCAGTTTGTTATTGAATTATATATAATGCTATTTTTAACTGTTGCAATAAAAATAGATTAACACATTATTAATTTATTTCTATATAATATTGTCACGCTTTATTCTATCCAATGAAAAATTCTCTTTAAAGATTAAATAGTTTTGAGATTTTTCTATAATCCTCCTTACTTTAATATAAATAGATAGTAACTCTTATGCTTCGATCTTTAAATTTTATCTGCCTGAAATCCTTTATGTTAAGCGTTATTGTGTTTATCAAGCTTAGGCTTTAAAATAAATAAATCTTCATTTTAATATTATTTCCAAGTTAAATTCTAATTAAGTTATATAACATACGATTTTCCTTTAGACGTTATACCTTTCAAGCAATGTATTTTAACTTATATAACATCATAGTCCTGCATTCAGTAAGCTAATATACAAGTAACACTTATATGATTATTTAATCAAGAGAGCAGCCTATCTGATAAGCTACCTGTAAAATGGACCAGAGGTCCTCTAATTGGCGAAGGTGCATTTGGAAACGTTTATCTTGTGGTTGCGCATACAGAAAATTACAACAACGAGACATTCGATACAGAGTGCGAAACATATATTAGTCTTCAGGATTATTTTGTTGTAAAAGATATTCCAATCAAAGAGACCAACAAAGTTGAAATAAAGGTAATGTGATTTCTTTTTTTTTTAAATCTACACGCATGCATTCAATTTTTTAAATCACTGAATTTTACTCTATATTTAAAACAGTGTATTTGATTTCATAACAAATTATATATATATATATATATATATATATATATATATATATATATATATATATATATATATATATATATATATATATATGATTAAATAATATGGTGGTCACTCGCTGTGAATTTTTACACAACGGCATAATCGTAGAGGAAGACCTTAAATGTTCCAATAGAGCTTGGTAATTATTAATGTAATGCAAACTTCAAAGAATTTGCCTCGGGTTGCCTCTTAGTTTTTATTTTCTTAATATATTACAGCAGCATATATTTATGGGTACCTTGAAACGTTAACGTTTTTTTTTTAATTTGTTGTTTACCAGCAAGAAAATATAAATTTACTTTTTCTTTTTTATTCAGGAAAGGTTAAAAATAGAGACAACAATGTTGACATCAATGGAGCATCCACGTATTGTACAGTACTTTGGATATTATCAGACAGATCATATTTTCTCCATCTTCCTTCGGTACATGAAAATGGTGAGTTTAAAGACTGTGCAAAAGTGTTGCTTCTGATAAAAATATTACATGTGAGTGTTAAGACAGTGCTTTTAATGGCTAGCTTTTGTAAAGCGAGTTTAATAAATTTTTTGGGGTTTGATTTTGCAAATTTAACGTTTTTAATTTTAAATTTTATTTTAATATAATTTAATATTGTTTGTAAAATAATTATGTGTGTTGTTGCAAGGGCTCATTGTATGACTACATAAGAAAGCAAGGAGCAATAACCGAGTCAAAAATTCAACTATACACCAGACAGATTCTTGACGCAGTGGCATTTTTGCATGACAATAATATCATCCATGGAGATATAAAAGGTATTGTTAATGACGGCATAATTAACGTAATTAACTTTATTATATATATATATATATATATATATATATATATATATATATATATATATTTATATATATATCTAAGTTTGATTTTGTACTGTATTTGTTATTCATCTATTTTATTGTATACATTTTATGGGTTTGTTATACATAGGTAAAAATATATTGCTAGAAGACGAAGATAACATCAGATTAACGGACTTTGGAATTTCTAAAATCCTGAAAGATGTAACAAGTACTGGAACAGCTAGTATCGGAACTTACAGGTGGATGGCACCAGAAGTGGTCACTGCAGATCCTGCAACACAAAAGTATAACAAGAAAGTAGATATTTGGTGAGGTTTTCACAGATCTTCTCTTAATCGAATAGCTATTGTTTTATTAAATGAAGTTATTAATTCATAATTCTATAAAGAAAAAAGGACTAGGCGATAGATTGCTTTTTATGGATAAAAATAATCTATTTCAATTCGGAAATAAGTTGGATATTACGTTTACAAAAATAACATAACGCTAATAACTAATAACTAATGTATAACAGTAGATGTAATAATGACGTTCAATGTAATTGCTAGTTTTGATATTCCCTTCAATGTATACGTTATTGATGTCAAAGTACTATTACAGTACACTGCTTTGCTCTTGAAGTTAGCGAATTGTAGAATTTTTTTTGTTAATGTATGTTTTAAAACTCTGTATATTTGTACATATATTTATTTTACATTGAAGTTTATTGTCCCGATAATTCGTAAACTAAATATTTTTGAAAAATAGCAGTTAAAAACTTTCTACTCAAATTTCTTTCATTAAACACAGGAGTATCGGTTGTACTGTTGTCGAGATGATCACTGGTGAAGACCCATATCCTCAATGTAAAAGCGAAGCAAACATTTGTTTTACAATTGGGCACAAGAAAGAACCACCTCAGTATCGAAACGTTTCCGCCAGTTGTAAAAATTTCTTAAAGAAAACATTTACAGTAGACCCTATAGCAAGACTATCAGCCAAAGATCTACCGGAAAATGATCCATTTATAATTAGTGGACAAGCAGGTGTGTAGGTTTTCATTACTCTGTCACATTTACAATTAAAATCATTATCATTATTGTATACATTTGCACTAAAAAATGTAAAAATATAATAAACAAAATGTGAAGCAACGGCTTTAAGCAATTTATATTTATTTTCTCCCTTGCTTTTGTATAATAAACTGTTACTTAGTTTACACTTCATGATACTTCGAAAAAAATCACAAGTATCCAACTAATATGCATATAACTATTTTTAAAATCATACTCTAAATATTCCATTCAATCATGTTTCTTATATATTTATTGTTACAGGAACTACAAAAAAAAAGCTATTAGATCATATCGATGTAAAATATCGATGTGAAAAAAATCCAGGCCATAAACAATTTATACCTGTGCAGCTGTTTGAAATGTCCCATTTACCTATATCAGCACAAGATAATGAATTGTTTGAGTTAATCAAAGCGATAGCTGAACTGACTGTGTACGTACGTGTTAGATTTACAAGTTACGATAGACCCAAGACAGTTGGAGCTAGAATTAATGCAACATATCCATTTTACTCTAGCAGAGGGAGTGATTTCTTACGTTCGGGATCTGGCATGATCGACCTGGAGCATTACGAAATCTTGACATCCATGTGTAACTGTACATATTGCCAGAGTTTAGATTTCCCAGAAAAGACGGGGTTTACGTTTAATGTCGTAACTGCCAGACATCATACGTATGACGATTCTGAAGCAATAAAATCAGAATGTCGTGTTTTTTATGATAGTGACACATCAAACTGCAAACATGTGCACGGCATAAGCATCGTCGAAGCCGATGATGATGCAGATAGATGTGTTATGAAGTGTGTCTGTCACGATATGACTCTCCTGGAACAATTAAATACAACATGGCAAAGGTACAAAGAGCTAAACAGTATTGTTACAGGTAGATATAAACATCAAAAAGAGAACAATAAATTATGTGTCATCGTATCACATCCGCATGGAGCATCTAAACATGTCACTGTTGGCGAATGGGTTGCTAGAGAAAGTTATGGGAATGTGCCCATATTAAACATCCCTCTGACCAGGTACAATTACACTACAGCAACATGCCCTGGTTCCACTGGTGCTCCAGTGTTTATCCTAGGTAGTGGTGCTGGTATGTACCATCACACACACTGTGTCGGGAGACCGGATTTTAACAATAGCGGAATGTTTTTTGACTAAAAATGTTTATAAATCTAAAACAGACATATGTAACTAAATAATGTTAGTAATGAAATATAGGATCTTGTTATGGTAATTGTGAAGAATTTTGTTCAATTACTGCGTTGTTGAAACAGATAACAAAAAAAAATTGAAAACTAACGTAAACTAGTTTAGATGTTATGAATGGCATGTAATTAAAAAAAAACATGACTATGTTTACTTTTCTCGATCTTAGACTCAAATACTTGGCTGTTGTTAGATCTACATTTGACATCATTGTCTTTAGTTAACGAATTATTTTCGTCACCAATACTATTTTTACTGCATTTAACCATTGTTTTTATGTCTGAGAGCATCACAGCTATTTGTGTTTCTATGTTAATATCTAATGTGTGACTTATAAGTTTAAAATGGTTTAGACTGTATTTACTTAGAATGTTATAGCTATTTACTTTTTTCAAAAATAAACTGTCATATGTATATTCAAAATGTTTACCCTATTGAGAAGTAAAGATGTGTAGAGCATAAATTCATCTGTTTGTCCGGGTTTATAAATGGAAAGGAAGCCAGCAGAATCCTTACTTACATAATCACATATAACAGTTCATTATTCTATCACAAATAAACGTAACTAACGAGCGAATTGTGGACCATATACTCGCTGTTTGGGGATTACTTCACTTGCCACATAAACACTTGCATGTTATTTTAATACACGGTAATTCTCTCTCTCTCTCTCTCTCTCTCTCTCTCTCTCTCTCTCTCTCTCTCTCTCTCTATATATATATATATATATATATATATATATATATATATATATATATATATATATATATATCGATGGTCTCGGTCGCAAACCGTCTAACTCCGAAAATGTAAATTTTACAGGAGAGACAAAAAACTGATTATTTCATTGTTGATCGCTCTAAAACAAATTGTTTTTAAAAATATGTGCGAAGAAACTCTCTACTGACTATTCTGTAGCGTTTTAAAATGGGTTTTGTTGATATTTCCAAAATTATAGCAGGTTTAAAAAGATAGACGGTTTGCTCGGTCTAAAACTCTCGGTGCAAACCGTCTGTCTGTGCGCGCGCAGACTTGGCCGTTTTGAACGGAGAATTTCGGTCTCAGCCGCGTTCGTTCGTTTTGTCCAATGAACGTGATTTAGTTATGTTTATGTTTTTAAGTTATAATTAACGCTTCATAATATTTAGATTATAGTTTTGGGCTCATATTTTAAATATTTGAGTTTATTGTACTTCATGGGGGCAGTTTAATTTTAGTACAGATGTTTTAGTATGGCTTTATCGCTTTCGACTGTTTATTCATAATGGCTGTATTTAGCACTAAACTTGTTAACTGTTGAAGGTTATGCTTTATGTATTACATCTTTCTATTTTCACAGTTTATTTTATTAAATCTGGTGGGTGTGGGTTTTATAGAATGATAATAGTAAAAATATAAACCTTATTGTCAGATATATTATGAATGAGACATAACACATGATAACACATTAATAATGACTTAATGTTTATTTATTTTACAAAATTTAAAAAAAAATTGTTTATTTTTTTAATTTATTCTTTGAATAAACGTCACATGAAGAATTATTACAATGGCAACATATTTTTAAATCAGGCAAATCATCAAAAAATATGAATTTATGACTTGCTTTTAGGTGCTCATATATGACAGCTTTTATCTTTTTTTCTGCTCTTGTACAACTTGTCAGGGGCTACAGATGAGATCAAAATCTTACGACCCTAGCTTAGCAATTGCCAGCTATCTACTAATTCACTTTGAAGTAGATAGTAGCATCAGTGGCGTAGCGAGGTCGGGTGTCACCCGGTGCGGCACTTAATGGTGTCATCCCCCCCCCCCAGGCGTAGCGACCCTTCCCTGGGACAAACTTTCAAGTTTTTGATTTGCACCCCCTCCCTCAAACTTTCGATTTGCACCCACCCTCAAGTTTTCGATTTGCACCCCCCCCCTCAAACTTTCGATTTGCACCCCCCCCTCAAGTTTTTCTCTATATATTTTGCCATTTTTTGCCTTGGTGTCACCCACCTAAATGGTGTCACCCGGTGCGATCCGCACCCCCGCCCCCCCTCGCTACGCCCCTGATTAGCATCATAGTTGTTCTACAATGCTGGAATATCTGTCGCATTGAATTCTTGATAGGTCTGACTGGTCTTTTGAGAGCGGCTGGTCTCTTGTATGGTAAGAATGGTCTGTTGAGAGAGGCTGGTATCTTGGACGGTAAGATTGGTCAGTTGAGAGAGATTGGTCTTTGTATTTTACGACTGATCTGCTGAGAGAGACTGGTCTCTTGTATGGTAAGAATTGTCTGTTGAGAAAGGCTGGTCTGTTGAGTTACTGGTGTCTTAAAGGGTTAGACAAGTTTGTTGAGATATTCTGGTGTCCTCTATGGTGGAATTGGTCATTTAAGAGAGTTTGGTCTTTTGAATGTTACGACGGGTCTTGTATGTTACGACTAATCTGTTGAGAGAGGCTGATCTGTTATGTGGTAAGACTGGTCTGTTGAGAGAGGCTGGTCTGTTAAGACAGGCTGGTCTGTTGAGAGGGGCTGGTCTGTTGAGAGGCTGGTCTGTTGAGAGAGGCTGGTATGTTGAGAGAAGCTGGTCTGTTGAGAGAGGCTGGTCTGTTGAGAGAAGCTGGTCTGTTGAGAGAGGCTGGTCTGTTGAGAGAGGCTGGTCTGTTGAGAGAGGGTGGTCTGTTGAGAGGGGCTGGTATGTTGAGTGAGGCTGGTCTGTTGAGAGAAGCTGGTCTGTTGAGAGAGGCTGGTCTGTTGAGAGAGGCTGGTCTGTTGAGAGAGGGTGGTCTGTTGAGAGGGGCTGGTATGTTGAGTGAGGCTGGTATGTTGAGAGAGGCTGGTCTGTTGGGAGAGGCTGGTCTGTTATGAGAGGTTGGTCTGTTGAGAGAGGCTGATCTGTTATGTGGTAAGACTGGTCTGTTGAGAGAGGCTGGTCTGTTGAGAGAGGCTGGTCTGTTGAGAGAGGCTGGTCTGTTGAGAGAGGCTGGTCTGTTGAGAGAGGCTGGTCTGTTGAGAGAGGCTGGTCTGTTGAGAGAGGCTGGTCTGTTGAGAGAGGCTGGTCTGTTGAGAGAGGCTGGTCTGTTATGTGGAAAGACTGGTCTGTTGAGAGAGGCTGGTCTGTTGAGAGAGGCTGGTCTGTTGAGAGAGGCTGGTCTGTTGAGAGAGGCTGGTCTGTTATGTGGTAAGACTGGTCTGTTGAGAGAGGCTGGTCTGTTGAGAGAGGCTGGTCTGTTGAGAGAGGCTGGTATTTTGAGACAGGCTGGTCAGTTATGTGGTAAGACTGGTGTCTGTTGAGAGAGGTTGGTCGTTTGTGAGAGGCTGATCTGTTGAGAGAGGCTGGTATGTCGAAGATAGCCTGGTATGTTGAGTGGTTGGCCTATTGAGAGATGCTGATCTGTCTAGAGAGGCTGGTCTGTTATGTGGTAAGACTGGTGTGTTGAGAGAGGTTGGTCTATTGAGAGAGGCTGATCTGTTGTGAGAGGCTGGTATGTTGAGAGAGGCTGGTATGTTGAGAGAGGCTGGTATGTTGAGAGAGGCTGGTCTGTTGAGAAAATCTTAAATTGAAATTAATCATAAAAGCATTTACTAACGACAACTAACCATGTCGTTGAACATGTACGCCAAACATTTTGTAACCTACCATATAAACATTTCTTAACACGTAGCTAAAACCTCAATCTAAAGCTAGTAATGAATTAACAATAATTAAATTTACTGCACAATCTTGTGGAAATATAATTCAAATAATATTGTTTTGATTGATATTTAGATTCTAGAATGAAGATCTAGTTTTAAAGCATTGTATTAGCCTAAACAATTGTAAAAAATCAGTTTGGTTATTGAAAATCTGGAAATAGGCTATATTAAACAAATACTATTTGTTTATTATTCTTTAAAATGATAAAATGTAATAGAATAGCTGAACATAATTAATCAAATACCCTTACCTATATGTAATGTGACTGCTGTGCTGTAAAATTGTGTGATTGCGGCGTGCGACTGCGTTCCCGATCAAAAGTGTACTGACAAAAATAGCGATGTTCGTTTTGCGCCGAGATTTTTAGCGCTTGAAATAATAGGCGGTTTGTTCAAATGATTATATCTCGATAATCATTCTACAGATTTCTCTAATATTTTCATGCATTATGGGGAATCATATTGGCTTTTGATTTATGTAAAAAAAAGAAAATCGAATTTTTTTGAGTTAGACGGTTTGCGACCGAGACCATCGATAAATATATATATATATATATATATATATATATATATATATATATATATATATATATATATATATATATATATATATATAAATATATATATATATATATATATATATATATATATATGTATATATATATATATATATATATATACATTTATATATATATATATATATATATATATATATATATATATATATATATATATATATATATATATATATATATATATATATATATATATATATCAACTGTTTGGTATGTAATTCACTCAAAATCATCATGAATTGATTATCAAACACAAGCAGGTACTAAAATATAACATTTCACATTAAGAATGGATAATCATATTTTAATATATATATATATATATATATATATATATATATATATATATATATATATATATATATATATATATATATATATATATATATATATACTACTTAAATGTAAACACTTTTCTACTTTGTTCAAATTGACAAGCTTTGGACAAGGGGTGAGGAGATCATTCATCCCCCACCCCTCGCGAATATGTTTACTTCCGACTGACTTTTGGTTTAGCAGTTGTGTGCGTTATAGACCAAACACGACGCCCCAGACATGCTTTATACGTGCTCTATAATTTTACACAAGTATTTTATATTATGTGGTGGGTATAAATGAGGGGTGTAAGTCCTTACCTCACTGTAGAACCATTCTTTAATTGTTTGTTGTAAAAATAAATGGTAACACTACTAAAACATTTATTTAATTTATTGAATAAAAACACCCGAATGCAATTGTATTACTTTAAATGTGTTGGATCAAATCGAAGCGTTGTCCATTCTTTAGCATACATTTTTAATAGTCTATAACAAACTTTAAAATAATAGACGAAAACAATGTAGTTGTATGCGTTTCAAACACACCTGATTCTCATCTCACAGAAGCGAAGATGTTTATAGGAATAGGAAGTTAAGCTCCAGTATATGGACGGAGAGAAATCTGTAGAATTCCATAAACCGTTGAAGTTTACAAAACTCGAATATGCGTGCCACCACGCACCGTGGTAAAACTCTGCATCGTTAATACGACCAACTCCTCTAGTTTTATAAAAAAAGTACACCGGGAAGTTAAAGTTGAGTTCCTAAGTTTCTCTGAAATAGTCTTAAGAAAAATTGAAGACCTTAGTGCTAAAAGTACTTAAGTCACAAAAACAACATTTTGAGAAAAATGAGTTCA